AGGACTAACAAAGCCGACAATGTTGAGGCAGACCTTGTAGTGGGAGAGTTGGCGTCGAACTATTCTGTCAAAGCACGTTGCTGATGCACGCTCGTCCTGAATCGGTAGCAGGGTAGGACAAGCTTCAAGGTTGAGTAGAATGTCGACTGAAGGCAGTGCAGATGGGGTCGCGTCGATGCCCATAGCGTTCTGCTGTCTAGCTAGAACCAAGCCCGAGCTCGAGACCCAGGCACCAATGCAATCCCTATCGTTTCCTGAAAGACGTCCGGAATTACGGATTCTTGTTCGAATACCCGACTTTGTATCTTCATCCAGGGCGTTCGCAGAACGCATCAAATGCATTTTCAAAAGCTAGGGTTATCAGCCAAGTTCATTTTCAAAAAAGCTGATTCGTCTAGCACACCTTGGTTTGGCAAACGTAGCAGAGCACCCGCAGGAGTTCCTGTAGTGCAACCAAGCCTCCAAGTGTCGTCGCGCAAACGATCTTTACACCCCCATCCTGGACCCATTCACGCATGGCTTTGTTGACGAGCGGAAGAGCTTCTTGGTAAACCTCGTGACATGTCCTGAGGATAGTGGTTGATACGGAGTGCGAGATCAGCGTGACTCGTCCTTCACGAGAGTAATTGTTGATCGTCGTATGTTTAGTCGAGCGTGGCAGGCGTTCATACACCATCAAACGAACATCTTTTGGAAGATCAAGGAAACGGAAAGGTCCCTGGTTCGACGCGCATGAGGTCAACGGCATGTTGATGATGGGCTGGAGTTGCGGCCGCCGGCGAGTACTACGAAAGGCAGTGCGTGAGGTCGTGACCGCAATCAGGAAACTGCTCGAGCCATGTTTGCGCTCACTAGCGCCATTGTGGTGCTTGAAGCACGGGCGACAGACACGTGGGCGTACGCTTTCGGTGTTACAAGCGCTTAGCCTACGACTGTACACGACCACCTTTCGCTTTCCATCGCACCATCGGCATGCATCGACCAAATTAAGCGCAAACCGCTACTGCTATCAACGCTATGAGCATGACTACGCCAGCGCGCTTTCAGTTGCTTGGTCTCCCTAAAGAACTCCGACTCATGGTCTACGAGCGCCTACCACGGCAGATCAAGCACCACCACGTCATCGAACCCTCTAGCTCGAAAGGATGTCTTGTTCTCATCACGAGGTGTCTTCCGGTCGCAATACTCGCGACCTGTAAACAGGTCAACGCGGAAGCGAGCGCAATCGTACACAAGATCCAAAGAGACTTCATTTTGAGTGAAGGAGCCAGATTCATCGTGAACCGCCAACTCGTCCGTCACAAGAAATTTCCAATGTTGCTCCACGATTTGGTGTATATTTGGTACACTCAGCAAAGACTGGAATCACTGGGGGCTCTTGTGCGCGATAATCTCCGGCGCCATCTTGGATACTGCTCGACTGAGTCGGGCATTCACATGATGGTCACAAAGTTCAACGCTCAGATGCGGCAGCAAATAGCCTACACCAAGGATACCCCAGGGCCTTACGCACAAGTACCACTCCGATTCATACTGGTGGATGACTTGGGAAGTACAAGAAGTTTGAGGAAGAAGGCGAAGAGTTGTGCTAGGATCTGTCGTAGGCTTAGTCGGCTCTGCACTTTCGACAACATCCTGGCGATCTCTTGCGATGGCTTTCTATCAGCGAACTCGTATACCACTTCAGGCTTTGCCCATGACGCCATTCCCACGCTGATAGATTTAAAGTACTGTGATAAAGACAGGGTCGAGGTCAGGGAGCTTCCAGTCGTGTATAGCAAGTGGCACGATAGTTGGATGGAATGATCCGCTTCTCGATATATTTAGATGAAGTGACGGGTTGGCGTAGAAGCGGAGCTATGAGGAATTGATCTCTATCCCATTGTTACTCTGCTATGATTACCTATCAGTGGCGGCTCGGCGTGTGTATCAGAACCCGAGAGGATTATCTGATTTTCTTTTCGGTCATCCCTCGCTTTCAGGAGGCGAATCGGGATGCCAACGAAAAGATTGTAGCACATTTCCAGGCGCTCGCTGATAAGCACAAATGCACTGTAAGCCAGGTTGCCTTAACCTGGCTGCTGAATCAGGGCGACGATGTTATCTCCATACCAGGTAACGAAGCGCATCGAGTATCTTCAGCAGAAATGGGCGAGCATAGATAAAAAGTTGAGCGATCAGGACGAAAGGAAAATTCGCGCGTTTGCGAACGATGCGGAAGTGAAGGGGACGGCGCAGCCGGCACAGTTGTCCAGCTATTTGTATTGCGATAAGATCGGACAGCACATGACCGGATATTACATTCATGTGGCGCTTTGATATTCAAGAGAGCGATGTAGTGTGACTTCTAATCCACGCCTACGTATATCTGTCATCAATGATGGCAATGGCCCTGGCACTGACGCGTTGGTAGAAGAAGAGCTGCTCTAGCTAGCGACGCGTATCGGCAAAATGAACACTTCAACAAATTGTTGTCTGTCGCGTATGGGTAGTATGACATCGATTGGAAAGTACATCAAGACAATCTCGGCGCATACATGATCATGTACGACAAGTTTTATCCTCACTGACCGTATCACACCATCATACCACCGTGCATATCCTCGCGAACAGCACTCATGCGCCTGCTACGCGCTTTGTCGGGTGTCTGCATACCGTCGGAGTACTGCTCTCCACTCAAACGATGACGATTGAAAAGCGGTGGAAGTAGAAAATTTTGTAGTGAGCGGACGCGTACGTGCGTACCATCAGTGTGGTATGATGACGGCGCGCGAGATGAGGAAACTCGAATCGGCATTGCAGCCCCAAATGGCGACGTTGGGATGAAGGAGTAGCGGAAGGAGGGGTGTCGAAAACCGCCTGGCTCTGCTTCGAATGTCTTGTCGTCACTGTGAGCCAGTGGGTCATGCCGCGTTGGAAAGGTCGCGTTTGTAGAAGGATGTTCCAGGCTGTCTTCCCTCTCGCGATTTCTGTCGACTGATCAGTGGAGTTCTCGGTTAGTATTTGGAAATACTGACTTGCACATCTCGCAAGGGCGTGACGTGGTCTTCATTCTGAATGGGTACATTTCCAATGTAGCCATGACACCAATGCAGGTCAGTGCCATCATGATACCGGGATGGAGTCCGTAGAACCAAAATTCGAGCCAGGAATGCTTGTCGAAGGTCTTCATTGTGATGATATGTGAGAGCGTAGTTTGAGGCTCTAGATGTAATGCCAAAATGGGGCATTTGAAGTTGCCGCTATGATTGTAAAGCACTGAGCTGACATCGCGGCGAGCTTGTGGGTCACTTTAACTCGCGCGAGACTACAACCAACAGTTCGGCGACCTGCCAGTCCCGCAAGGCTCCTACCGTCCCACACGACGGAGATTCATCACACTACGGGGTCTTTATGCGAGGCTGAGGCAGTGTTCCGTTGCTACTTTGGGACTGAACTGGTCTCCCGGCGTCGTTGTATACCGTGATAGGCTGGATATTATGGTGACTCGGTTCTTGATTCGTGGGTGATTAGGAATTGAATTGATCATCCTGATCCAACTGTCACAGTTGGCAAGGTTGGTGACGGGGTTCGAAGGCTTTGAAACACCACCAGAATCCGTCGTGGGGTGCTACACTTCGGACACTCCGATAACAGGCCGTTCGAGTTCGCCCGAGCAGTGAGTACCAGTTGATATCCGCGACGTAATGAGTTGTAGAAGTCTAAACTGTGATCTCAAGCTTGGCGAAAGAGAAAGGGTCGTGATGTCTCAGACGAAGGCTGTTGTCGAAAACCTCTTCCCATTTCCTGACACCCGTACAAAGCCTGCAAAGAGACTCTGGAACACAACGGACTCACCGAACAAAGCCACCAGAGCGCTACGATCTCGTTTGAGACTGAGTTTGGATGAAAGCAAAGCACGATGATCTGATCCGGACCTGTACTTGGTTCATTTTTGTCCGCGAATGATGACATCCCGAAGATATGTGATAATGTAGAGCACGCAGCCCTGATCTCAGACGCAGTGGTCTTTCTCATGCGGTGGAAGATGTGCCATCCAATGGCATTCCAAGTTGCGTCGGGCGTAGGGCGTCCTGGGGGTGTTGAGTTGGGCTCAACAGGCATCCATGGATTTAGGTGTATCGCGGGCGGACCGCACCTTCGCTTGCATTCAGCTGCCGATATCGATGATTAGAAAACATAGCACATATGAACTGATGTCGTTAAGATTGTAGGCAGTCTCGAAAGTCATGAACAAAAGTCATGGGCAATGGCCCAAACGACGATGAAAGTATGCACCGCGCATTGGCCAGCCAATCAAACTCTGCTGCCCAAGACATGCCGTCTTCCGCGGTTTTGACATGTAACTTCGCTGGGTACGTACTTCGTAATCCAGGACGCGCTGCTAAAGAGTCGAGGCTGCTCCGTGTCGACGTGAAAGATTGTGATGTGACATCCAGAACCACAGGCGATCGATGTGGGTCAACGTGGGGCAGTTCCGTTCCGGGTTAGTACCAACACCTGCGGCGGTTGTACCCGTCCCTCCTGCATTCTTCATCTCCTTTCACACTGCACCATCGGCGCTGTCGATAATAATGCAACAACCATTTATCCCGTCACATTCGCAATTTCGCGCTTCGACTGTAATCGATGATCGCAATACTTGACTAATTGGAACTTGCTACTGCATCGCTCGATCACTTGGCGATGGCCCATTCGTGGTTACTTGTACGCGTTATGCGACTCGGTAAAACACCAGTCTTGTCGCGCATTGGAGACACATGTGTTTGTACGATTGAAAGTATTACAATTATGTACCCCATCTCGTATAACAGTCTATCCGCGCTGACCCGGAACTCCAGCCTTCGCAAATAGATAGACCGAGTCGCAAAGTACCGCTGTAGCGCTTACTGCGAACATGCTACACCCATCTTGTCTTCAAGCCACCAAGCACACTCAAGCTGCGCAAGCCGTATCAAGCTTAAAACACCCAAAGAAATCCAGTCTGCACAAGCCTCCATCTATAACTTCGTGCAGTACGCGCTATGAATCTTGTAGTCGAACGTGCCCAGATCTCCAAACACCGACGCCTGGTCCTTGCTGCCGCATTCCATCTTCTGGCCGTTGGCAGGACAGTCGTGGCCACTAGTGGAAGTTAGTTTCCAACGGTCTTTCCAAGTAAAAGGAGAATGATGGGTATGACGTACGTGTAGAACTTGCAGTGGTAGCCCTTCTCGACGGTGACGCTGCGGATCTTGCCATCGAAGTTGCCAAAGATGTTGTTCATATCGGTGCAGAAGTCGTTGGCGGGAATGGCGGTTGACCGGCCGTTGAAGTTTTTGTCGGTGAAGATGGTGGCCCCGCGACCGTCCGCTGCAGCCTGTGGAATGTTAGTATCATGGGTGGAAGGGTGATTTGGTGTGGCAGTCTTCGTTACGTACGGTCGGTACAGCAGCGACAAGCGTGCTCAAGAAAGCTAAGACGGGGATGAAGAGCTGCATTCTGTGGGTTCTATTTGGTTGATGGTTCCTGGAAATCGAGAGATCGTCGAGACTAAGTAGAGGGTGGAAGTTGCGGGTTTATTTCGGCGGAGGCGTAGGTTCTTTAATATAGGGAGGGCGCGGGCAGAGAAGGAGCGAGGCGTGGTCATGACTGCTTATGACGCTAGCCTGTAGTTAGATGAACAGCATTCTTTGTCCCTAATGAGTGAAGCAACTGTGGCCCGAGCTTCCAAAACGAGCGGAGGCTGCATTTGTCTATGCTTGTATCGTGAAAGCTAACGGTATTCTGGTGGTAGGCGCTGGGGCTAGTTGTTTATATTGCGGCGCAGGTGTTCCCGCAGTTCGGTAGGATAGCCGCATCAGGAAGTTTGTAAGATCCCTCGTCCAACTCGCACTAGATGAGGCGCGGATGTGCCCAACACAGGCAGAATAGCGCCATGGCATGTGCAAAGACTGGCGGATCCAGAATGTTGGAGGACTGGTATCCAGCATACCATGAGCCTAGATTTCTTGTCAACATCTTCCTTGTGGTGTTGACGGCTTTTGCGAGACCTCACTGGAGCGAAATTGCACCTCTGAACACATCTTTCACGTAAGTACCACGTCCATCCATTCTTTTGTGCTGCTATACGATCTACTCGATGTAAAGGCTCTCCTTTTTGCCTTTACAGCTTGGATGTATTGCCACAAACTCCATGAGTTCAGGTTGTTTCCACACAATGAACCCAGTCTTCTTCTCGTGGGTGAAACAGCTCCCGGCCGTGATACCAAGTCTCTTGTAATGATCACCAACACCCTGAAATGCCACAAAAGTGGGAGGTTTGGTACAATCCCACAAGTCCTTAGGACCCGGATACATCCAGCTAGTTTCTACCGCGACCAATTTCAACTTGTTGCCAAGGTCCAATTCTACCAATTGGGTATCAATTGACAGTGCGATAGCAACTCCGACAGCATTATCGTCTCCATGCCGAAAGACGACGAACGGCGTACTATGCTCGCGGCTGACTACCAATGATGCTGTGTAGAACCGACCCGTCAGACGTAAAGTAGGACCATAGCCTGTGGGCAGCATGTCAAATCGACTCTCACTCCCCGAATCGTGAGAGATCCAAGTTCCGTCGACTGCACGGGTTTCCGCAACATAGGTCGCTTCCATGGACTCTGCACTGGTGAACTCCTTTGAACCAGTTGTTGCTACCCATGACCAGCTGGGAAAGCCGTGTCTCCTTTTTCCGGGATCGCTGCAACTCCATCTCAATGAAAGCACGGATTGCGCATTATCGTCGCTGAACTCGACCGGCATGCCCCAATAGTGGCACCGAACATGCTTGTCCAATATACCAACGCAGGCGTTGAGAATGTCGCTTTCAAAGGATAATTTCCTAGTCGAAAGGCTGCTCAAGATCACCATGACATCTTTCATGGGAGACATGTCTTGGCGTTGATTATAATCGTGAAGTGGCGGGAACCGTGCATCCCCGAGCCCAAGGAAAAAGCTTTTGCAGTCCAAAGAAGGCCGCTGCACAGATTCTTGCCAGGATGCTTGACCGCATACGTAGAAGACTTCGTTTTCGGTGAAGACGAGTCTTCGTGGTGCCAAGTAGCCCTCCTGGAGAGTCCAGCCTCTAGATGCCCATATGCTGCTGTCCAGATCGCGTTGAGCATCAGGTTGCTCGATCAGCTCCAAGCTGCCATCTACTACAACTCTTCGCTGCGGTCTTCGAGATTTTCGACCAACTCCCGGTAGTCCATGACTGGAGGAATCGCCGGCTGCTGCAATGATAACGAGCTGTGATTCGGAATAGATGCGGCCCATGAGCTCTATCTGGGCCTGCTTGTGGACTGCATCCAGCTGGTTGATGCACTGCGCTCGGTTGTTAGTCATGTCAACATGCTGCAATCATGTCGTGGCTACAACGTACATACTGATCGACCCATAGATATCGGTAGCCCAGTTCCAGAGTGACTGTGATAGCGTCACATATTGTCGCCGGGAAGTTGGTTTGTTGTTCTTTGGATGCTGGAGTACTACCCCATACATAAGATAGGGCTAGATACTCGAAGGAAGCATCCCACACTGCAGCAACGACCTTCCCGGTGTTGCAGTCGATGACTCTGAGTCCAGGAATAGGCGATGGAGAAGAAGAATGACAGCTTGACGCATGGTATAGCTTGCAGTAATTTAGCCACTGCCGAAGGATGCTGTAGTCGATGCCACCAGGATCAAGATTGCGCACAACGTAGTTCTTCGAACCACCGCGTGTGTCCTGTAATATGTACGACGGAAAATGCGTGTAGACAGAGCTTTCCGAATCGACCAACCGGATACTTGGAGTGTGCTGCGTCATATCACTTCGATTGTCAGGGGTCCATCTCCCGTCTTCGCCTAAGTAAAGGTAGTCGCGGCAGATGCAACGCGCATGGAGGGTTCTGCTTGGATTCTCGTTGAAATTTTGATCTGAGCCCAGTAGCCGGCATAGTGGACAAGACGACACGGAAAGCTCCAGGCTCGACTCTGGAACGCCAACCATCTCACCGTTACCACTGTGACAATAGTCGACACTTTCATGAAAGAGAAGATTCGACCAATTTATGCCAGCACAACGTTGACACAAGTCGCCCTGCGGACACATATCCATGTAGTCAGCATATGTACGTTGGACTCTTGCCCGCTTGCCCTCCTCTTCGGCCTCTTCATCCAGTCTTATCTTGGCGAGGGCATCGGATACCGTGGATGAAGCCCGTTCATCTTCGGAGTCCTCCATCTTGAAGTTGTTTGTCGAGACCTCAGGATAGCGTCTCTAATAGGTACTATAGTGGCTTCGAACGGAGAATGCGATGGAGGCTTGTGACCTGATCTTCGGTGGAAGAGCGTAAGTGATAGCTTCAGTCAGGTTTGTGAATTAGGCTGCCACGTTGCTGACAAAATGACGTGCGTAGTGTCATGCACGCTAATCTGGTAAGACGCATACTAGACAGCTGCAAAGGCGTCTGGGTTTTAGACAGCGCGTAATCATCCTGGGCCAGCGATTAAAGAAAAAGATGTTGGTTGGTCATACTATGCAGCTCAGTTTGCGCAATCTTTCATTATCATGTGTGACAACAGCAGGCATTACGTACCCAGAAACGCCGTAATGACAGAGGTATCTCAGAAACAAGTCGTACCCAAACACCTAGCCTTAGAATACACAACCCATTTTCTTAGATGCCGTCTCTTGCTATAAGCTATAGGCTTGCGCTCATGCCTACATCTGCGTGCAGCACTAAGAGCAAGCGCTGATGCTCGTAGCTTACATCGTCCGCCAAAAGTAGTTTGTGTAGAAGTGTCGCGAGAACTTGGGGTCAATGTTGACAACATGCACATCTCCTTTTGCCGCATTGCGGACGACAGCCTTGTTGTACTCGCCGGTCGTAGGGTCAGCTTCGACGTCGATACCGAGGGTGCGATAGAGTTTGAGCTTCAATCTATGGTCAAAGTCAGCATTTGCGCATAGTATAATAGGCCCCGAGTCACGACACGGAGACAGGCTTGCTTGCGCAACGAGCCCGTGCTGCCAGCATCTCGTCGTAAGCCATCAGAGGTAGAACTTACACTGTCGCATCCTCGCCCGCTCTAGGTTCAACACCACCTTCAACACCTTCCTCTTCCAACTCGCCGGCCACACCCCCCAACCGCGCGAGATCGCTCTGCAGCCTCTCACCCTCAATCTCCAGATCACTCGCCTGCTTCGCGATCTTGAACTTCTCGGTATCTAGCCGTAATATCTCCGCGGCGTGATTTGTGGGGTTATGCTGACTGAGGGTGTGGTTGTGGTTTGCGGAGAGGGTCTGGTGTGTCCGGTTCAGCGCGCTGAGCGAGGACTGGATGGAGCGTAGGTGTTGGGTGCGGAATTCGCTGAGGGTGCTGAGCGACTCGTTTATGCGGTGGAGGGAAGTTTTGTCGTTGGCTATTTTGAAGTGCGATGTGCATTGCGCGATGAGCTGCGTATTGTTAGGGAGGGTTGTATGTGTTTAGAGAGGGTGCGTACGGCAGCGGGGTCTTCGTCAAGGAGCATCTTGGGCTGATTTGTGTTGCGCGAAGCTGATGTGTATAGTACGATTGTTTTGAGTGTTCCTGGATGTTTGCGCAATTGGTTCGTCTGGTATCTGGTGATGTCTATCGCGACAAAGCCATGGTGTTGATGTTCTTGTTTGGATGGCCCGTGCCAAGTCGCGTGCATGGCAACCGCGACCAAGTGGCGGAAGGCGCAGGCGTAGCGTGGCGCATGGCCGGCAGCCACGAGGCGGCGGCGTACGTCACGGTAAAAGATCGCCTGCTCGGCCTGCAGCTGGAGCTTTCACGAGACAGCCCGTAGTTTGACGCTTACCACTTGCACTAACGCATCCTCACGATACCAACTTCCGCCTCCCCCAGAGACGACTTCTCAGACCTCTCTAATTTTCTCGCGCACAACGAACAGCCGCCATGCCGCCGTCATTACCATGTGAGTGGGATAACGACTTCTGGGCCGACGAACGCTCATTCCCCTTAGATGCCGCCGATGTCGAGTCGCCGCTCAAGCCAGAGGAGCTGCAGGTTCTGCGCGCGCAGTACGAGAAGGAGGGCGAATACGTTGGTCTGCAGACGAAGTTCAACTACGCATGGGTACGGCTTCCCCGCGTCTTGTCACATTTGCACATGCGCACGGCACCACCCGCAACAAGCAAGCTCATGGTATTCTAGGGTCTGATCAAATCCACCTCCCGTCCCGACCAACAGGAAGGAGTGCGCCTCCTCTCAGAGATCTTCCGCAACTCGCGCGAGCGCCGGCGCGAATGCCTCTACTACCTCGCCCTCGGCAACTACAAGCTCGGCAACTATGCTGAAGCCCGACGGTACAACGAGCTGCTGCTGGAGTTGGAGCCTGCAAACCTCCAGGCCGGAAGCTTGAAGGGTCTCATCGACGAAAAGGTGGCAAAGGAGGGGCTTGTGGGCGCCGCTATTGTGGGAGGAATCGTGGTCGCGGCGGGCGTGGTGGGGAGCCTCTTGCTGAGGGGTGGCCCTCGAAGATCGTGAACAGGTGCCGTCGTCGCGAATCTATGACATGCGCAGCGTCGTTTGGATCACAGGTCAAGCCAGGCCCGCAGTCATGTTGATGAGTACATGCATAGGCGTTTGTGGTTTCTATACCTTTGGCAGGGATCGTATGGTTAATAGCAATTTTTGATATCTGTAGTATACACAAAGCTCTCCTACCAAGCAAGCGATAGCACTGACCACCTTATCGCGCGACGTACTGTTGGATTGCTGCGGGCGACAGTCTTTGGCTGATGGAAGGCCTCAGAACTAGATGGAACACGGAAGAAGCGGGCAGAGACAACTGGTCGGACAAACGTAGAGTCAGAGCAAGACAATCAACCGTTGCCGCGTTCAAGAAGACGCGCAAGCGACTTTGCCCCCGTCTCCATTTCACATCTGCCCTCATAACTTCTTGACCCACGAAGCAAAGTGCTAGGTTAGCTTCGCCCAACTCGAGATACCGCGGGACAAATCGCTAGACCCCACCACCCCTGCACACCGAACAACGTCATTCCGGTGTCTGACAGCTTTCGCGCGAAACAACCTTGGAACTATCACCTTACGGGTAGCCTCGCCTTAGATCTCCCTCTACGCCAAACTTCCCTGAATCCTCTCCGCAATCCACTGCAATCACCCCTACCTGTCTGCTGTCGCAGCTCGCCACCATCACCTGTACTGGCAACGGCGCGTGATAGGCCCTTGACTTGAATTGATCCTCTTCCGCGCCTGCTCCCGACACAAGGCCGTAAGTCGGCGTCCGTTGCTCGAACGTTACTTCCATGCTGACATACCTTACCCAGTCTCCTTGAACCTCGCCCTACTACCCTACGTCTTATCACACGTCTCACACCTGCGACCATGGACCAGTCGACCAGCCAGGATGCGCAGTCAGGAAACCCGCGGCCCGGGCATCGCGACATGATGTTTTGCCACGAGTGCGCCGACGAGTGGTATCGAGACGAACATGGCCTCTCGTGTCCAGAATGCGGCTCAGACTTCACCGAGATCGTGAGTTTAGCCGCCAGATCCAGCCTTCAGCCCGTCAAGCACGACGCGAAGTGCATATGCACCGAATTCCGCTGACACCGAATAGATCGAAGACAACAATGACCCAAGAGATGCTGCCCCCGGGATGTTTAGCCATGACGGCGACGACTCCGACTCCCTCCCTGATCTCGAGCATGCCCCACCACAATTAAACCCTCACCACAACCCATGGCAGACCGACGACCCGGAGGAGGGCGACATTAGCAATGTCAGATTCACAGAAACGGGTCCGGGAAGGTACAACCTGCAGGCTACGGTTACACGATCCGTATCGCCCCAGGGGGGCATGGCGGTGCCTGGGTCAATAGGAGGATTCATGGCCATGTTGAACGGGCTCACCGGGGCAGCAATGCGACCACAGGGGCAACAACCGGGTCAGCAACCGGGTCAAGGGGAGGGACTGTTCTCTGGCGCTGGACCAGGCACAGGCCCAAACCAGTCTGCTTTCCAAGAAGCTCAAACCCAGGGTCACGAAGGAGGACCTCAGATCCGCGGAGGAAGCTTCACATACCACGGTGGCGCTCGACTGTTCCCCGGCAATGGAAACCACCCAGGCCAGGCCGAGCCCGTGGATGAGATCACCAAGTAAGCAGGAGCGAACCATCATATTTGGAAGCCGCTAACAAGCCAAACAGTGTCATGACTGGCCTCATGGCTGCCTTTGGGGCACCACCTCCTCGCGTCCACGCCCACAACCACCCACTCGGCGGCGCTGAGGGTACTTTCCGCGGCGAACACAACCATGGCGCTGGCGAGCAGTTCGCGGGTCACCCTATCCTACAACTATTCTCCTCTATGGGTATGATGGGCGGCCACGCTGGCAACATGGGAGATTTTGTCTATTCTCAAGAAGGCCTAGACCGCATCGTCTCCCAACTCATGGAGCAAACCTCGACGAGCAACGCGCCCGGTCCGGCAACACAAGCCGACATCGATAAACTCCCGCGTACCCACATCACTGAAGAGATGCTAGGCGACGAACACAAGGCCGAATGCAGTATATGCATGGACGAGGTCAACATCGGCGAGCAGGTGACGCTACTGCCATGCAAGCACTGGTTCCACCACCCATGTGTCTCCGCGTGGCTGCTCGAGCACGACACCTGTCCACATTGTCGAAAGGGTATTACCAAGGGTGACGAGGGCCAGGCGAACAACCCTGCGTCTGCAGACTCACAGACGGATCGTACGTCCCAGATGCCGGGTTCCTTCACTCCTTCCGGCTCGGGCACGTTCAATGATCCCTACGTCGTTCCCGCAGGATCCCCACCCCCACCGTCCAACGGTCAAGGCAGCTCGTCTGATAACGCAAATGCAGGCTCGGGCAACGGTGGCATCAGTGACCGGATACGCAGGGGTCTGTTTGGATCTCCGCAATAGGGATAAAACCCTCTTGTCGGTAATATCAAGCTAATCTTCATGTATATGCCAGGGCGGGACCGGTTCAGGAGGAGTAGAGAGGTACTGCGCGAGGCAAGACAGGTCCGCCGTGAACTTCGCTCCGGTTCTGAGTCGACCGAGCTTTTATCACCGGAGATTATCCTCAGTGGCAGACCCAATACTGAAGGGGCCCGCCGTGTATCTTCCTTTCTCAGTCCACGGGCTCGGACGCAGCGGTCAACCTCTGGAGGTGGCCCTGAGAATCCAAGCGAGTCCACT